CTACTACTCATTCTCCCTATTCTCCTCAACATCATTCTCACCCTACTCCTCCTCCTCCTACTACTAGTACTATATGCCTGCAACCACTACTATTACTGATGTTCCTTCTCATTTTCATATTCCTTCTCTTCCTCCTCTTCCTCCACCTTTTCTGACTAGTATTACTACTACTTCCTGTTCTTATTCTCATACCGCTACTATTACTAATACTACTGCTTCTTCTACTACTCATTCTCCCTATTCTCCTCAACATCCTTCTCACCCTACTCATCCTACTACTACTACTACTATTATTACTACTTCTACTACTAGTAGTAGTACTACATGCCTGCAACCACTACTATTACTCATGTTCCTTAGCGTTCTCATATTTCTTCTCATCCTTATCCTTCTTCTTCTTCTGCTCCCCATAGCTAGTCTGTATCAGCGAGCCATGATTTTACTCGCTTGCCCCTAGGTCCTCTCTCTATCTCTCTCCTTCCATTTCTCTCTCTGGAAGAGCCGATCAACGATTCTGTCGAAATTGGCTCACAGCAATGGGACGGTAACCTCAGTTACGGTGCAGGCACGGTGAGCCCCCGGCCTTATCAATACCAGAAATGCTGAAACGGACGCTTTCAATCTATGTCTATGGAAGTTCCAATGTTAGGCGAAGTTTATAGTTCTGCTGTAAACCTTAACAATTCAGTATGAGTAGAACTGATTATGAGAAAAACTTCAATATCGACCCTTCAATCGACATGTAGAGCCTAGAGTGATTAAGTGCATATTCATACAATAGAAGTACTAATTAGCCCACGAAATTATTAAGATGGCAAAATTAAGAATACGACCTGCTAGAGTACCTTTGATTTTATTTGGAAAAGTGGGTATAAGGGGTCCATAGGTTAACCTCATCGGACACTAAAGGAGGATTACTGTATTGTGCGAAGACGACATTCATCTTTTACAAGCATCCACCAAAAAACACTAAATCAAGGAAGATGGCCTGCTAAAAAGGTCTTCTTCATACACTCCAGCAGTCACTGGTCCAGAGCAAACCACTTTCGGTGTCCGGTGAGGCCAAAGTAATAATCCCTTATACCCGCCTGGCAATGGTTGTCAGCATCAATCCATTAAGCGAGTCTTTGAAGCGTCTAAGACTAAGAAGTGAGTGGAACTTTCATCCAGCCTCCCTTCTTGGTTGAAGGTTTTAATGAATTTTTCTAAATGATGCCTTCTAACTCTGAGTATTGGCGACGTGCCGAGGGCTTTCTTGTCCGTATCACACGTCTCGATTTTAAGGTTTCCGATGAGGCCAAGTCATGTGTCCCGTCCGCCCACCTGTTCAAGTCATAAAACAAGTTCAACATCAGGAATCCGCTTTTGTGCCTGCAATGCGTCTTGGATCCTGCCAATTCCAGACATGCATTGCCGTCGTAAACGTTGAGCTCTCGCACTTTCAGCCCAGTGGCATTGGAACCATGGGCGTGTGTCGTCAAGGGCATAATCGCTACATCCGCAGGATTTTCCTGTCAAAGCAGGACCGAGGATATGGTCGCAAGTGAGGAGAGCTGAAATACAAACGGTGAAAGAGCGGGTGGTGTTCATCGGTGAAGAAGTGATTAATCCCGGTAGCGACAATGATGTGTATAGACAGAAAGAACGGCCTAAGATAACATTTTCCCTTGACTCGTTCCACCTCGTCTAGATCTCTACAAGGGAAGTCTAAAATTGCAGTACAGACTGGATGATAAAACATTGAGGGAGGCAAGGCTAGGGGAAATTCAATGGAATTCTGAGGCCATTTTGGGAACAATCACCTTATGCGACCCAGATTGACTAGGACTCTAATTCGATTTAACCAACCATTATGTCATTCAGTACTTCGAGGTTTTGCCCAACTCCGGTTCCCCATTGGCCTATTGGTCTACATTTGCAGAATTATGTCATCGCATTGAGTTTCATAGCATATGGCCAGTTTTTTTCGTTTTTACCAATCAAGCAGCTCTATTCTTCTCAGAATAGCTGGACTTAGCATTATATTCCGACACCAAAAACATCAATCTGAAGCCTGGACAAGTAGGGAATCTTTCCCAAAGAGTCAATTTTGCCATTTTTAGGTTTACTTGATTGACTAGCACATTTGCTTAATGGAATATATCGTTATTAAACATTTAGCACTGGGTTATAATAACAATATTTTGCCGAAACGCCCTTGTAGGTGTTTTCCGGAATAAAAAACGCTTATTTATATTGATTCAAATACCTTGTGTACATAACTCTATAAATTAAATTTCCTCATTTTTTGCATCAACTACACCTAGTACTTTGACGACGCGCTCAATTCCCTTTAGACGATTGGTTGCTAATATCAGGTTGCTTCACTCCTATTCGCTGAAAAACGTGTCTGTCGCCACCTGGAAAATCAGTAGTATATCGAGTTTAATGGCAAGCACATAGTTGCCTATCGTTACAAAATTATCCACAAATTAGTGTGTATTAAGAAAGGAACTTGCCTTGATTTAAAAGTAATGTCTGTCGCGTGGCTCAAAATTGTCATTCTCGGGTAGCCCAGTGGCTGATGTATTCGCATTCTAGTCCATCAAGCTCCATGGCTCGAGTTCTCATAGAGCGACTGATGAGACGCTAAGGCAAGGTAGAAATTAAAGTCCATCCTGGTCTTGTAGGATGCATGACGAAGTGGAATTTATTGCAAAAACAGGCGATTTCTTCAAATTATTTCCAGATTATTCGCTATCCTGCCAGCAAGAAGCCATTAGA